CTTTAGAAATCATCTAGAATTTTCAAACTCTGGTATGCATAAGAACCACCTGTGCTTACTAAAAATGCAAACTACCAGGTCCTGCCTCTCTAGAGATTCTGCATCATTAGATCTGGAAAAGATTCCAGGAATCTGTATTTTTATTTTTATTTTTTATTTTTTGGTGAGATAGATTGGCCCTGAGCTAACATCTGTTGCCAATCTTCCTCTATTTTGTATGTGGGACGCTGTCACAGCATGGCTTGATGAACAGTGAGTAGGTCCGCACCCAGGATCTGAACCCACGAACCCCAGGCTGTCAAAGAGGAATGTGCGAACGTAACCACTACACCACTGGGCCAGCCCCCAGGAATCTGTATTTTTAACCAGCACCAGATTGTTCTTGGATCAAACAGGGTAGTAAAAAACAGTATTCCAGCTTATTCATTCATTTTTTTGGTAAGGGAAAGATGTGTTTTAGCCATCCCTAGGTAGTGTTTTTTAGCACAGATACTTTCTCCTTAAACATGTAGGCAGAAACGCTGTCTGCTTTGTTCTATAAAGTTTCATATGTGCATAACGAGAGAACAAAGCAGAAGTCCCAGCCCTTAAGTGACAGTGCTGGTGACACGGGAAAGCGATAAAGCTGTCCTAAAACGCCCCCACCCCCACAACTGCAGCGGCCTTACCTGGACTCTCATCAGATCTCAGCTGGACTTCCAACAGTCTCCTGACTCGGTCCAGTCTTGCCTTCCTCCAAACATGATGGCATCTTGGAGATGTGGCCTTTGGGAGGTAACCGGGTCATGAAGGTCCAGTCCTCGTGATGGGATCAGTGCTTTTAAAATTAGACTCTCGAGAGCTTCCTCTCTCTCTCTGCCAGGTGAGGATACAACGAGAAGACGTCCACAAACCAGGGAGCAGGCTCTCACCAGACACGGGATTTATCGACATCCAGATCTGGGACTTCCCAGCGTCCAGAACTGAGAAATAAATGTTTATTGTTTAAGCCATCCAGTACATGGTGATTTTATCATAGCACACTGAACTAAGATGGCCGCTCACCTGCTGGAAACACTTCCTGACTCCCGCTGCCTCCGAGCACCGACTCCTTAGCGTTGCACACCAATCTGACATCTTGTGTGTCCCCAGATGTGCTGCCAGAGCACACCGAACCACTTGCAGTTCCCCAGATGCACAATGTTATTTTCACACTTCTCTTGTTTTTGAGTGTATTGATCCTTTTCGCCAAGACACTACTTCTACATTTTTCATCCAGAGAAATGTTACCCTTTCTTCAAGGTTCAGCTCAAGTGTCAATTCCTCTGTAAAGATTTTCTGGAATCGTTCTTAGTCCTCCAGGCTGATTTTAATACTGTTCCTCAAGCATCTTGTTCATACCATTGTAACGGTAACGATTGCTTATCTAATTATTTTGTTTAGACATCAGTTCCTTGAAATAAATGAGGAAAGCCCCTATTCCATCTTTATTTTTGTATTCTCACTAACTGACGAAATGGACTGGCACTTTAAGGTTGCTCAGTAAATGCCTGGGGGTATGAATGTTATTCCCTAGTCTGAAATTCATTGCTGTGATAATCCATGGGGACTATTTCAAACGCTCAACGCACACAGGCATACACAGTCACATCAGAGTTCAGCATTTGCAACTTTCAGTGTGTGGGATGACACGAGATCCCTGCCTTTGATCTAATGGGCCTTCATCATAGGGAGACGAGTAAGCAAAAGAGAGCAAACAGGAACACTGTGTTGTCCCCTAAACCCTCTGCTCCTTGGTAATTCTGTCTGAGATGCCAATGAATGTCACAACAGCAGCTGCGAGGTCCAGAGTTTTGCTTGTCTGAGGTCCAGCCAGCAGTTGACCTTACCACCCGTCTTCCTGCTTCCTAGTAATTAATGCGGCATTTGTATCATATCTGTGCTTGGTTGAATGAGAAGAAGTCATTTGACTGGAGGCCATGTAGACCAAACTACCCCAACTAAGGAGACTGGGGAAAGGACCAAGAATCTCCATCATAGCGCAAGCCTCTGGCCTCTTTCTCCGTGTGTCTTTGATGACTGTTCCATAATTGACAGGAAGACAGGAAGCAGTCATTGACCCACCTTTGCTTAACTCCTATGGCATTCCTTTTGGAACAAATTGACTTTTGTGTTAAAGCAATACATTTCTTCCTGTTTAAGCAACAGGTGTTGTGATTGTCACTTTTACTTTAACAAACCCACAAAGAAGAAAATTTGATCTCAAAGTCTGGAGGGGAGGGAATAAGACACACACTAACATTAGGACCTAGCCCCATGGCAGCAGAGCAGGAAGACTGCAGAGGGAACCCACCATGAGGAGACCCCTTTGAGGGAACAGCTCAGTACAGCAGCTCTTGGCCCTCCTTCATGGAATAGCTGCTACCTCAGTTTCCTTGCTTGGTGGGCCTTTTATATGGTTAGATAGGCCGGAAGACATCGTAGATTCAAAGGGAGGAAGGGGGAAAAGGAAGAAGAAGATGTTAACTCTGGGCTTAGCATTACGAGTCAGGATACGCAGGAAATACTGGAGTGTGTCAGCTTGTAGGATTACCTTGAAGCGTTGGTTCACCTTAAGGGGGAAAAGGTTAGTGGAATCCCGTAGAGTGTCCCTTCTCCTGTTCCACTCTTGAGGCTGCTTCCACCCCAGACTCTTTCTGGTTTTGGAGGTCCAGGGTTTACTTTAGGGGGAGGAGGAGAGAAGGAGGAAGGGGGTGAATTAGGGGTTAGTTCCCCGGCCACTCCCCACTGTGGACTTTTTCTTTATGTTAAGAGTAGAGGGAAGGTCCCATTCTCTTTGCCTCAGGGATGGAAGAAACCGATTTGCAAGAAGAAAAACTTGGTCAATGAGATCCAGGGTCTCTAATTGTATGCACCTTCAGTTCAGGTGTTTCAGGCAAGTTTCCACGTCTGAAGTCTGTGATTTTATGCCTACTAGTAAACTAGTGTAAAACTCAGCACTCCGAGGAGCTTTTGGCTTTCCAATTCATGTTTGATATATTATTATTGACAAACAGAGGACTCTGGTTAACGTCTCCAGGAAGCCAACACTACTGTTGGGAGTTTAAAGGTTAAAGAACTGGGATTTAGGAACAATTAATATGAAATAATTCAAGAATCTGACTATTTTCCAGGGAAGGAACCTTTATGAGTAGCCTAACCATATGCCCCGCTTTGCCTGGAATGGTCTTGGTTCGTGCCCCTTGTCCCAGTGTAATCATTAATAGTACACACTTTCACTCTCAAAAATGACTTAGTTTAAGCAACAAATTAAATGCTCTGTTTATAAGCAACTTGGGTGGCAGATATGGAGTCCTTGAGAGCATGGGTTGGAAGGAGACTCTATGAAAAATGAACAATCATGTGGGTACAGCTAAGAACAGAGAAGAGAGGAGCAAGGGAGGTAAAGAAGACCAGGCCACCCAGTGGCAGGTTGGAGCTTGCAGACCGTCCAGAGCAGGGCCCCCTGGTACTAAATTTGATACTCTGGTGCTGTATGATCTAAATTCGCATCTCTCTCCAGAACCTCTACAACAGAGCTGCTGCACACATTAATGCTTTATGTGAGAGACGGCTCAGGAGTTAAGGAAGAGGAGTTGTGTTTCCCGTCTGGATCAGTGTGGTGCAGGGAGGGGAAGGGGCACAGATGGGAGAGCAGGATTGTCCCCAATGAAGGGACAGGAGTCCAGAGTGGAAGGCACCTGGGAAAAGCACAAACCACTTTTCCCCTCTGCAGAATTACAGAGACCTTGGGTATAATGTGTTGGATGAAGTGGGACACAAGTCTCCCATGCCCCGTGAGACGAGAGTTGAGCCATTTCATTATAATCTCAAAGGATGGGCTACTTCAGATGAATCTTGACCCGAAGCCACCAGCTTTATTGAGGAACTTTGGAAGAAACAGCCCTAAGAATCATATTTGATTACTGCAGGATGCTAGTGAGGATGCTGTTTACTCAGTAACCTCTTCACCAGGACCCACAGGAAAACTTTCTTCTAGGTTTCAGTACTGGAAATGGTTAGGCTTGTTTTGAATCATTAATTTATTTGCCTTATAGAGTCTGTGAGTCGTGGAACTGATCTTGTCTCCCTCTCGGCCTTAGTTGCTGGATCCAGATCTTCTCCATCAACAGCCAGCAAAGTGCCTTACAGTATACGGCGTGGGTCGAACTTCACTCCTGCCTCCATCTCTCTCTCTCTTACTCTTGTTTTTCCTCTGACTCAATTTCCTCATTCTCCTATTTTAAATTTCTTTAATTATTATACTGTAATTTTTTATTAGTGACCTCAATCCATTTTTAAAAAATAAACAAACATACAAACAAACTTCTCTAGAAAATTTCAGTTCCTTATTTTCCACTTAGTGTTACTTTTGATAATAAGTAGTCATAATACTTTACTTCCTATTAAAATGCTAGGAAGCTGAGTTTCCCTGTGAGCATGTGGTTTTGGTAGAAATCCTGAAATTCTCTACAAAGCACCTACAGCAAAGAGACAGTGAATTATAGTTGGACTGGGAATCTTACGGAGGAATGAAGTATTGGAAATGGAATTGGGAGAAAAGGAACAGTGGCTGCTAGAAGGATGGGGTGCAATGGGGTGCAATGGGTGAGAGGGACAAGTTTGTTTGTTTATGGAGCTGAGTCTAGATGCTGAGAACGACTTTCCTCATCAGCTAAGACTTGGACTGTATAGGGAAGATGGCCGGGATAACTTGAGGTGTTTCAACGAGTACTAATGTATCATTGTAGCTGCAAATATATGTTTGTAAGACTAACCACAAATGGCTTTGGCCCAATTGAATAGAACTTTGAGCCTATATGGTTTATAGTCTTTACAAGAATGCTGGCAACAACATCCTCTACTTCATTCCTCTTACAAGACATCATTTCTTATCTTGAAAACATGTCATTTTGTTTGGCCAAGTACCATTATTGCTTACGAAGCCTTAATAGATTGAAAGAAAGGTAGGACTCCATTAGTGCCAGAAAGACAAGCTAAATATTTTATTAGATTCTAAAGGAGAAAAGTGAAGAATGTAAATACTTCAGTAAAAATCCATGACCCGTCTCAAAGAACCAGCTTTGGCGTTCACAGCCCCCCAGTCGTGGTAGCGCCTGTACTCCCCCGGCCTCAGCAGATACTGCCTTCCCCTGTAGCCGGGCATCTCATAGAGGACCCACCAGCCCTCCAGCACACTGAGGGAGTGGATTTCACTGAGGTGGAAATCGTCCTGAAGAGACAGACAGTCATCTGTGATTTCTGACATTTGTCCTCTGAAGTCATCTCTCTCGTAGATCCTCATCCTGTAAGGGCCCGCTTGCTGGAGAAGCAGACAGAAGAGGAAAAGCACATGAACACAAACAGAAATTAAAGTTCCAGCCCCTGCACCTCCCCGGCCACACCTGCTCAGAAGTTCTCTGGGTCTAAACTTGCTTCCAGAACAGCCATGTTGCAGAGTTAAAGAGACTTCCTGGCCCTGACCACCCACCCATACTGAGTCTGATGATTTATGGGCAAAGCTGGGGACAGAACTCAGCAGCCATTCAGCTGCTCTCCACCAGTCTCTGTCCTTGGCAGTTAAGGTTTGCCTAAAATAAAATTGTCAATCTAATGCTTATTATTAGAGAAAGTCCTTCTCAAAGGAGAAAAGTGAGAGTCAAGTCTCATTTGATATATTACTCTTGTTAAAAAGGAATCAATGTTTAGCTATTTTCTGTAAAACCCATGTTTTGGTTTTGAGGTACACTATAGAACACAGGATTATTAAGCTCTCATAAAAATGAGATGCCACGTTTTCCTCATCTCTATTTTCATGGCCTCAGTTTCCGTTCGGGTTTCAACCTGTCCAACACTTCAGCTTCCTCTCTGGCTCCTTCTCCTCCTCTTACTCGTTTCCCCCAGCTGCATGAATCATCCTCCTAAAGCCCAGTTTGGGTGACACTGTGCCCACGCCTCCCACGTGCAGTTGTAGGAACTCTGCGCTCAAGCTCCAACCGTGTTGACTCTCAGACATGGGCTGGCTCTGGTCCTTCCTCTGATGTATTCCTCTAAGGCAGCTGGCAGCTATCCACCACGAAATCAGAACCGAAACCAGAAGACAGGGGCCTATCTTCTCCAGGAATATAATCAAACAGAAAAGGAAGCCAAAGCCAGCAAAAGTATTTTTATCAATTAAACAGACTCAGATTGTATCAATAAATTTTGATCCACTGGATTTCTGAGTTGATATGGCTTAGAATGATCACTTTAAGAAATTACATCTTGAATAGATGGTAACTTCAGTCTCCTCCATGCCCTGCTTTTTCTTAATTAGTCCTTAGTCTTTTAATTTTGATTACATTTAAAATACAAAATCTGGGAACGTGTGATTTTAAAAAACCACCAGAGTTGGTGAAGAATGGCTTCCCATCTGATGCACCTTCTAGACCAGACTGCATCCACTAGGCTCCCTTCCACTTTCTGCGCTCTGGTTGGAAGGAAGAATGGGATTTTTAAGCGGCTTTCATTTCCAAAGAGACGGAAGACACAGACAGGGCCACACTCACTGGGGGGATGAGGCGGCAGGAGCGGATGGAGTCGCCTTGGCCCATCCAGTGCTGGTAGTCGGGGTAGTCGCCGCGCCGCACCAGGTACTGGAGGCCCTGGTAGTGGGCGCGCTCATAGAGCATCCAGCAGCCGCTATCCACGCGGACGGAGTTGCAGCGGCTCAGGTGGGGCTGCAGGTTGGGCTGGTCGCTGGTGCACTCGTAGCGGCGACCCTGGAAGGCCCGGTCCTCGAAGAAGGTGATCTGCAGGAGGGAAGACGTGGGGGCATGAAGCGCTGGCCCCGCCGAGGATGCTTCGGTCCCACGGGGGCGCACCGGGGCCCGCACTCACCTTTCCCATCTTGGAGCGCGCAGGGGGCTGGCGTGGAGGGGCTGGGAGGCCGCTGTCTATATAGCAGCCGGACTGCTGCGTCCGCAGGAAATGCACAAAGGGGCCCATTTCGGTGAGTAAGGGGATTTGCCAGCTCCCGCTCCCTCCCCCTGGGCGTCGGGCGAGCTGGCCGGGTCACTCTCATTCTTTCTGGGAGGTTCGGGGTGTTCTAATTCACTAAAGCTGTTATTGCCACCAAAACGAAAAGCGTCTACTCTTTCAGTTGAGCAAAAGGATGAGCGAAATTCTGTCCTCACGCTTTTATTCCGTAGCCTACTCCGCTTAACTGACTCCTCCAAAGTAGTTAAAGTAAGCAGCATGCCTGCTCAGAGACTGGGGTGTTAAAAAAAAACTTCTTAAAAACTGGAATTTAAATAATAAGGAATCTTAAGGAAGAGGGAAGCAAGTGAAGTCATCTGTGAAAGTGCTTTGAAAAGCATAAAGCTTAGTTCACATTCATGATTCTGTGATCATTGCTGTTACTTGGGGCCTATCTTGAGTAAAATTGATACTTGACCGGAAATCTGTAGGCTCCTGGGGGCGGGAATTCGCTCTGTTCCCTCTGCCCCTGGGCCCTGGGCGAGGGCTGGCACATCGCAGGCCCTCAGTCCTCGCTTTGACGCGAAGGGAGCTGACAGTCATGGCCTCCCCCCTTTCCCACGCCTCACTGCGAGCCTCCCTTCCTTCTGCTGTGACTGCCCTCCGGCTCCCTGCCCCCTTCAGAGCTCCTGGGGTCTCTGCCCTCCTCCCTGCAAACTCCTGCGCGCTTGATGAGGGGGTGGAGGCCGCGGGAGGGGTGGTGGGGAACTCTCCAGGTACGCGCCGGCCTGCCTCCTCGGGCTTTGAGATGCCGGCAGCACCGAGGCAGACGACAGAGCCTCTTGCAAGTATGGACTTCACAGTGAGGCATGGGGACCCCGGACGCCCCCGAGACACTTTCAAGGGGTTCAGAAGGTCGAAACAGTCTTTGCAACAATACCAAGATGTTATTTGCCTTCCTCCCTCCTACTGTTTCTCAAGTGGACAGTGGAGTTTTTCTCGAGGCTGTGTGACAATGAGGAGATTTGTAAAAATGTAAGACGAAGCCAATGTTTTCATTAATTGTTTTTGCTTTGGAAAATACGGTTATTATTCATAAAAATATGCTATTGGTGTTAACATGTATTACTAAGTCCCTTCCTATAACAAGGGAAACCCAGCGGGGTGGGTGTCCTCTGCTGGAGTAGAAGCAGTTCAGTGTGCAGCTGATCCCCAGGCAGGCAGGAGTCTCCGTGAGACAGTAGAGCCTGTGGGTGGCCCCAGTCTACCTCTCAGCCTGTGCTGTTTGACGCTGTGACACTGTAGAATCTTCCCAGACGCTTGCAAGACTAGTGAGCACTACAGGAGCCCCGAGGCCAATAATTACGTCAGGACATATGCAGGATCAGATAAGAGACCTGGAAAGGAAGTATTTGGTTCCAGAGCTGGTGAGAGACTTGGTGTCTGTGGATTCCAAAGTCGTGGGGAGTCCGGTCTCGGAGTCAGAGGCCTGCACTCAAGGCCTCCCAGCCGTGCGGTCGTCGTCCAATGCTGGAGCCTTGGGGACCCGGATGGGCCGGGTCGGGCGAGTGGTGCTTCCGTGGCCGGCACCATTGCCTGGTGCAGACGACACACCTCGAGACCACCTGCCCTGCCAGTCCCAGGGCCCAGCTTTCACACCGCTTCCTCTGAAGTTATTTTCTCCACAGAAAGACGTGCTCACAGGCACCATGAACCTGTTGAGTAGGCACTGTTTGCGGAGAACACAATCAAGGAGCAACGGCTGCACACGTCCACACGCACCTCTGCAGTTTCTGCTACTGCTCAGGCGGTCTTTGGAAAGTCACATAACTTCCCCAAACCTCAGTTTCCCCATTTATAAAATAGGAATGACAAGGAAAATCTAATGAGATAATGGACTTGAAAGCACATAGTAAATTGTAAAGTAATACCAGTGGTGAAAAAATATTATATCATTCATATTTTAATAAATACTAAAAATGATAAAATTAATAGAATTCCTTGGTACATCAATCAAAAATAAATCTTTGTGTTTCTGGGCTTCAATGTCATAGTGTCTACATTTTTGCTTATGGTATGGAAACTCAATGTAATCAATGGATAATTTCAAATATTGGGACACTTTGGTCTAATTTAGCAAAGATCTTCTGTTTGGTAATTTTGATTTCACAATCAAACGATGAGTACTGTTTGTGTGTAGTCTTGAGCAAGATGCCCAGGGGAGGAATAACGTACATGAGGACTGTGCAGTCAGGGGGCATGGAGTCGTTGAAGTCCACCCCCTGCTGGTGGTGGATGCCCCAGCCCAGAGCATCGCCTCTTGCAGTCTCCCTGCATGCACCCATTTGCTGTGGCTGAAGCAGGGCTGCAGGTTGGACTGGCTGCACTCACAGGAGGTGATCTGCCATGGAACATGTCCACAGGAAGGGAAACCCTCCCAAGAACACATTGCCAGGAGTTCGTCGACAAGCCCCTGTTGTAAACCTACTCATTGTGGCTGGTGGACTGCGGATGCAGAAGCCAGGGGTGTCATCAGCTGTAACGGAGGCTTGGGGGTGTGCATGCTTGAGTGTGTGTGTAGGTGTGCACATTCCAGATCTATCAGGTGATTTAGGCCTGATTTGGCTAACAGTAGAATTTCTCCATTTTTCTCATTTCCATATCACCAATGCAGTGTTTTTGTGTGTTTAACTTGATTTTTCATTACATTATAACTATGTATCCTTTCTGTTAAGTGCTTTGGAAGTCTTTGAAGCAGTGTGGAATAGGAAAGTGGATATAGAAAGAACAAGTCAGAACAAGTGTCCTTGCTCTCATTATTTTATTGAACGCTTTTATGCTTTTGTGAAGAAACAGTAGTAGTAAACACATCCACACTGAAAACTGTGGGTACATTTGTTTTAAATCTTGGCAGCTCAGAAGGGCTAACTACGGAGAATTTTTCCCATTTTGCCTTCTAAATTCAAGATGTCTGTGATGATCTGGGCCCATGGTCCCCAATACTCCTGCCACACCTCCCTTTCCCAAAGCTTATCAAATTCCACCCAATCCTCAAGGCCGTCTAGGTCTCTTCTCAAGACATCTCCTCTTAGAACCAGCTTTTACCAGTCTCTCCTTCTGTGAACGTCTACCTCCACTTCGTCACCACCCAGTTTAGCACTTAAGCATTGCCTTTCTCATGTAATTTCCTCCTTTCCTGGTTTAGTGTCTTCAACAAGGTTATAAGCTCAAGGGTAAGGACCATATCACACTTCCTTATCCCCCATAATTACTTATTAATTAATTAGGTGGATAAATAGAGCCCTTGAAACAGGAAAATAGTTACCAATAATGATTCCGATTCTGTCTTGGGAAACAGTAACTCTCCCACGAGAGGTCATGAGTTACCTGTGTGGATGATCAGAGACACGGAAGCCACTTTCTCCCGCTCACTCCTCCAGCACGTTCCTTGGTTCTGATACCCTCCAGTTCTGTCCTGTCTTAGTGACCTGGAAGACATGAAGGGAGGTAGTAACGGCCCAGAAACCTGCAGGCTGGTGTAGGCCGACAGCAGGAGGCCTTCCTGAGGGTGGCGAGCATCAGAGCACCTCCAGGGCCATCCTGTTAGGTCTCAGAACTTCCCTCTAACAGCTGAAGGAGAGACAGGAGGTGTGGCCTGGGGAAGAGAATGAAATGAAAGAAAAAGTGATAAGCAACATTTCTGTGAAGGAAAATAAGGAAAGAGATTCCCAGCCAATTCCTTTCATTTTAGAAGATGGATGGGTCAATGGAATGAGACACTGGGTCTTGCATGCTGCAAGTCATGCTTGTCATGGCTCCTTGTACATCAGCCAACACCCTAACCTAAATTATGCGGGAGATTAAGGGACTGAGGGCAATGAGCCTTTTATGACAAATATTTGAATACCGAGTTTAACTCTTAAGTTATATACGAGTTTTTTTTCTTTAAAAATAACTGCAAAACTCTTTTTTAAAAAGTCAAGTCTTATTTAAATCAGAAAAAAATTATAAACACATTTAAGTTTCTCTAGAAACTCATAGTTAAATAAACTTGTATATCAAAGCTTGTATATATAAGCTTGCATATCAAAGTATTTGAATGGATCTGATATAAACCTGGCTTCTTCCAAAAACAAAATCATTCATTTAGGAGCCATTAAAGTTACCTGAGGCCTGTTAGACGCCTGAGTGTGAATAGCTCCCCACCCCCTCCCTGCAGAGATGTTTTGGTTTATAAGCTGGGTTTTCCTGGCGTGTTTGCAGACTTCTCTCCTGACTCTCTGGTAGTCACTTACGCGTCTCCCAGGTGAGACCTCTTGAGTTCCTCAGCACATCACTGCCACGACCCTGCGGAAGGAAGCCGTGGACCCTTTCATTTCAGTGGGCAGGACTGAACCTGCCGCCAAGTGTGCAGAGCTCATCAGGCTCATGATGATGATGATAATAACAGTTCCTAATCATAGCCTCCTGCGTAAAGAGTGTGTCATGTGTTCCAGACATTGACCAGGAATCTTATACAAAGTATGCATGTAGCCAGCACAGCACAGGACTTCCCCAAACATCTGTGAGATCTGCGGCAAGAGCATAAGTAGAGACCCCTCTCCATGGACTTCCCTCTCTTCTCACTCCCTCACATGTCCAAGCCCCATCCACATGCCTTCCCTCCCCACAAACAGCTGCTCTCTGGAGGACAGGCCTGGTGAAGACTCTCAGGTCTGGGAAGCAAGCGTCTAAATGCAGGGAATTCTGGGGCCCCAGGTATAAGGAGCGTGCTCTAGAAGGAGGAGTGTGGTGTGTCCCCGTGGCCCACAGATCCCTGTCCTGTGAGGAGGATGGCAGCCAGCTTGGTCCCTGGCTGACCGAGTCTAACCCCATACTGAGCACTGTGGAGAAACAAATCCAAAAAGGTACACATGGCTCGGGAATGGAGG